ATTATTGTCACTACATAAGTTGGTTACTTAATTTTACTTAAAAACAATGTGTATGTCACATTTTATCAGAGAAGTGGTTATTTCTATCCTCTGATTCATTTGACATGTTTTTAATAAGTGTCTAAGAAGCCCATCTATAAACAGGCCACAGGGTAAAGTTTTAGGGTATGGACAAATATACATCCGGAGCTCCTTGGCACTGGGCAGCAGCTGTAAGTGTTATCAGTGGATGTTACCAGTGGGGGTGCATGAGCCTGTAGTGATACATGTGAAACAAAACTGCTTAAGCTTTACCACTGCTGCATCCAGGGGCAAAGCTGAGGCGATTTAGCTCCCTGTCATCACTCATGCACAGAAGTTAAAACCTAACAATTACTGTGTTCTTCTTTATTTGACGTTGCTCTAAGTGTATCTTTGTCCATACCCATAGTCCTCTCCAGCATTGGCACTGATCTTCATACAGTCTAGCTAAAGTTGCTTCTGTACTCTGTTTGACACATGGTTTTAAGACAACCTTGGTTTTCTTACCTGTCAAAATTTGAAAATTTCCTTTGCCAAAAATAAGCTTCTGGTCAAGATTTTTTGTAGGAAGAATTATTTTATCCAACACTGTCCAGTTATGGAGGGTATTTACAAGAGCAACAGCTTCTGCTACTTGTAATTCAGCTGTCACATGGGGGGAAAAAAAGAAAAGGTTATAGTACACAGCCCCCCTTTGCACACAAATTTCTCACATTTCAGTAAGTACACAAGAAAAGTATGCAAGTCTGGTCTACACTTAATTTCTACTGGCATAGTTACTTAAGAGAGTGAAGAAAAAAAGCATTCCCCAACCAGCACAGTTATAATGTAAAGTCCTAGTTCAGATGTAGTTTTCTAATCAAAAAAGGTCCTTTTTGCCAGTATAGCTTATTTTAGGGGTCAGCAGTGTTTTCTGTTTGCAGGCCTAAATGACCCAGTTTGGGTCAAAGGCAGGCTGGTGCTAGGACCCATCCACAGCTTCTTCCCACTGCCTAGTCATAGTGTGGCAGAGGCAAAGCCCCCTGCCCTGTTCTGCAGACTGAATTCAATGGCTCTGCAGACGGGAGGCTGCCAACTCCCTGCTTATTCCATTTGGAGAGCTGATATAAGTTACTCTGGCATAAAAGCTCTTAATTCTGTTACCAATAAGGAAATTATGTTGCATATTGTATCAGCACTGTACCTGGAACCTAAAGGCACTTATTTACATGTGTTCTGACATGTAACATGTGCCCTGACATGGTCTTGATTAATCATCGAGTCTGCTGGAGCCTTCTAATCAGAGTGCTCCAGTGTGCTGCAGCATCTTGTGTAGTTAGTGTCCCTGTGCTTCAAAATGGCACTGTGGGTGTTTAACTGAAGCTCATTCACTGAGCTTTAGTTAAAGTGCCCCTACTGCCATTTTCAGGACCCTCTCTAATTAAAATGTCCCCCCCCAAGCATGCTTATAGGTGTCCTAAAAGACCTACACAGGCAGATGATGGAACTGTCAACACCCCCTCTCCATTTTAGAGTGGCAGCAAAACACCTGAATAGCTCTTCAATGCTTAGAAGTATTTAAAGAATTTCTAGAGTTGGGCACATTATTACTGATATCAATTATGCTGGTTCACCCACAACAGCAGTATCACAAGGCAGCGAAGTTCATTTTTGCTTTACTAAAAACACAGCAAACAGGGCATCAGTGCCGTGTTGATACATTTGGGAAGTCTTTTGCCCTTTGCAGATCTCATTAATTTTAATGGGACCTTATATAGTCATAGCGATGATCCTGGCAAATCAGATCATACAACTGAGGTTAACTTTTCCTAAATAAGGAAATAGAATGAGACTTTCATAAAAAAAATTAGCATCCATTTTTCCCTAAATGCAAGAGATGTGCTTGCTGTTTAAAAACATTTTATTTTTCTGGAAAAATGTTTGTTTAAATACTTTGACTTTTGCTCAAATTTTCATGTTCTTTATAAATGCAAGGTAACTGGGATTTTTTTGGGTGGGAGAATAAGTTTGAAATATTTAGCAGGTTGTAAGCAGGGGTCATGACCATTTTCCCTTTTTTTTAATCCTCAAGTGAGAACATGACACTATGGCATGGAAATGGTTGAAAAAAAATCACCAAATCTGTCTCATGCATGCCCCCCTCAATCACATGACACAGTAGTTTGCAACATTTGTTGTGGCCACAACACTGACAAATTGGGACAACGTTTTAGACGGATTATCAGGACAAAATTCCTAGACAGGAGATAAATCGGGGTGTAGACAGTGGGGGAAGTTCCACAACTTACTTGGAGCTTAAAATTACACTGAACAAGACACTTTGCTCACCATATTGGCTGCAATGGCTGTTTTTTAAAACTGATAGAGAGGCAACGCATGGATGGTATCTGAAAAATCTGACAGCAGTTACTGTACTTATTACAAATGTCACCACTTTTATTCACAGAGAAGCAGGTAAAGGTGCAAAATACCCACTCTGTATGATCTTAATACTTTCTGTTACTCTTCTACAGAAATTTGGATTTGGAGCAGGTTCACCCAAAAGAAAGTTCTTATCACCCTAAACAGGTGGGAGATTGAGAGGTCTGTTACCTAGCTATGAGGGCTACACAAACATCAAATCTCACTGAATGAATGAATGAATTCAGCAAGGACTTGTCATCACTGCACTGTTAGCTCAGTCTGATTGCTGGATAGAGTGAAGTGTTGCTTTAACTTCAAGCTAGCTGGATCATCAGAATATGTGGTTTGAGATTTGAGTATTGTTAACTTTCAAGTAACATAAATTCAAGTACTTTGTGTTGCTAGGCTCTGTGTAACAGGAACTTAGTTTTGTGGTGTGACCGCTTATCTTTGGGCTAGACTGTTTAGAGGTGTTAGTTCAATCCAACACGGCAGCAAAGATAAGCCCTGAGTACAGCTGATCGTGTGCATAGTTTACAAGATAAGGGCCTTAGAGTCATTATGAACATGCTTCTTTTTTGAACAATATCTCAGGGGGAAGTTACATATTACACTCAGATCATATAAAGGACACTTCGAACATGAGCATCCATGTCTAAAAGCTCTTTAATTCATGCCACTTCAGGTGAGTTAACTTTGGGCCATGCGGCCTAGCTTGTGTTAGGGTAAGTTCAGATATTTTTCCATGCTCTCTGGAGATAAACTAAGCAAAAAATCCAGCATCCCAGGATGCACCTCTCCCAGTCCCCCTCCTCAACCTGAGCAGGACTAGAGCCCAGGTGTCCTGGCTCCTAGCCATACCCTTACTCACCAGGCCTCTAGTAGCATCAGAGTTGCACAGGCAAGAAATGGCATTAACCCTCAATCTGCAAATGTTCACAGCACGTTCTAACTTTAACAAACTTCAACAAACGTAACATCCCACAGATGCAGTAGGGGCTAAGTCAGGGGAGGGTGACCCCTGACACATGCCAGTCCTCAGGACAGATAGCAGGGGAGCTGCGAGGGGCCCAATCCTTGTTGTAGCAGTGCTTTAACTAGAGCAGCTCTCAGAGGCACTCTAATTAAAGTGCCCCTCCCCCCACCCCATACTCCCAGAGCTTTAGATAAAGCACCCGCTGCCATTTTGACACGCAAGGACACTGACAGAGGCTGGAATCTGCTGGAAGGTGGCAACTGTCATGCACTAGACTTGACTCATTGAATAATGACCAGGGATCCTGGTTTTCTCTGAGACAGACATATATATCTCTCTGTCTAGATCTGTGTATTACTGGTGCTTCATTATGATCAGGGAAAAGTGTGGATATATACACAGCTCTGTATCTATATAGATTACTCTCCCTAGATATAGATAGATATACATACATAGTTTTGATCACAGAAAAATGTGGATTTTCTCTAATCACAATGAAGCACCAGTAATACACAAATATACATCTATTTAAATCTATATATTGATGTAGATAGATAGTGCTCTCTCTCTATAATTTTGATGACGAAAAACTGTGGATTTCAGGTTCCTTTTTTTAATCCGGAAATTGGGGATTTTCTCTGATCAGACAAAGCCAGGACCTTTGGCAAGGCCAGTGCCGCGTGCTGGGCCCCCAGTGCCCCCCGGGGTGCAGCAACGAAGCGCCTTGCTCGCCCTGCCGCAGCCCTGGGGCTGTGAAAGGCTCCCCAGCAGCCCGCACAACGATGGCCCTGGGGCGGGGCCCACCTGCGCGGCGCCGCTTCAGGTCGCCGGCCCTAGGCTGCACGAGGAACACGCGCTGCGCGCCGGCAAGCGGCAGCGGTACGGGCTCCAGCTGCGCCTCCAGCTCCTCCTCGGCGTCGTCCCCGCCCAGGTCCCCGCCGGCGCCCGAGCGGCTCCAGCTCGGCGCGGCGCCGCTGCAGCCGAGGG